AAAAGAAAAAAAAAATTTATATGTTTACAGTCATACAATGAATTGACAGTTACTAAAACTCGTAGTGTATGGTTTTTTTTCTTTTTTGAACAAATTGACGAGGGTGGGTTCGAACCCACAGGGGAGGGGGAATACACCTTTAAGATAACTCGAATGTCACTTAATCTGAAAGATCAGGTTATAGTGTATGGTTTAATTTAGTTATATTATTGTTTTTGAACTCAAAAAAAGAATATTAAAGGTTTCATTTCAAATTTATTCTTGTAAAGTGAATTAGAAGTAATATATATATATATAAAAGAGAACAGTATATATTAATATTAACTATTAAAATGAATTGAAACCTTAATTTTAAATTATTTTATTTTATTTAAATAAGACTTAATTTAAAAATTAAAAATTTATTTATTAAATATGATATTTAGATTTAAAAACTAATTCTATTAGAATATATAATTGATTATTAAGTTTAGATATCAATATTTAATATGATGAATTTTTAAGTTTTAAATTAAAATTTTAGTTTTTAAATATAAGTAGGAATTTTAATTTTTTTGAGAGTTTGAACTAATATACATTAATTTCTAAATATAAATATAATTTTATTTTATAATAAAATATTTCAATTATTAATAATTTAAGTAGTTTATTGATAATTTTTTAATTAAAAGTAAAAATTTTAAATTCAAATTATATAACATACAAGTATAAGTTAAAAAAGAGAATTGTTTTCTATTATTGAATCTAAGACTAAGGGGAAAAAAAAAAGAAAACTTTCAATTGTTTTGCAACACTTGTTTTAGTAAGAAAAATGACATAATACATTTTTTATAAAAAGAAAATTGGACATGATTTGTTGCTTGATAATAATTTAAGTTACAGAAAAAATGTCTAAACATGCTTGGCAAAAGATAATACTTAAATTGTCTCATTCGATTATTTATTTGTTTAAGCTTTATAATAATTTTTATAATAAAAAGTTAAAACCCTATCTAATACGGAGCATGTTATTGTCAAACCATACCTATCTTTACCCATATATATAGCTACCATAGCAGTCATCCATATCTAATCTAACAAATTCTAAACAGGTTTTTTTTTTTTTTTAAATGTTAGATTATATAATAAAAAATAATTATTTTTAATCTTTTACCTCACTCCATTTGTATATTATATAATTTAAATTTAAATTTTTTTATATTTAAAAAATTATTATTAAATTATTTAAATTATTAATAAATTAAAAAGTAGATAGTTGCATGAGAAACGTAGTTATTTTCATTTATAAAAGTATTAGAGTCACTTTTTTTAACATTTATTTTTAAAATATTAATTTTATTTGTTTAATTATTAAAAATAATTAATAATAGTAATTATTTATTAATAATTGAGAGAATAATTAATATTTATTACTCTATCTAATTATATTTAGTTGTTTTAATTTCTAAATATAAAAAGTTTAGTTTAATTATCTTACTTTTTAAATATGAATAGTTGATTTAATTATCTCACTTTCTATCATATTTAAATATTGTAACACATTAAATATTTATATTTTAAATTTATCATTATTTAAAAATGCATGGAGATTTTTTTTATTTAATTATAAATAAAGAAAAAATCTTAATTATTATAATAAATATTTTTTACTGTACAATCATAAATAAACAAAATAAAACAATGAAATTTAACCTAAAAAGGTAATAATATTAATTAGCCAATCGTAATCAATCAATATATTGAAATATTCACTCATGAGTGGGTGGATGGGTTGGTTGGGACTCTTCCAATTTAACTAGAGGTTTTGAGTTCAAACCCTGGAAATGCAGTTCCGTTAAAACTCATGAGGGAGAGTTTTGCCGCCTATTGGGTTCTGTCCGATTCGAATCCAGATTAATCGGTGGCTCAATAAGTTTCCGGACGTCGGATAATCCATAAAAAAAAAAAAATATATATTAAAATATTCAAATACCATAACTATGCACTAATTATATAATGAAAAATAAAAAGACATTTAAGGCGGCGAGGCAACAACCACACCCGGAGTCATGGGACCCCAACAACTCATACCGATGGTAAGTGAGAACAGCGCCTGCTGGTCACGTTATCACAAAGCTGGCTACCGGCCACCCAAAAAGCAACGATAATCGGTGTTTAAATCAATGTCTCGCAGCAACTATTTTATGTGAACATTTTCATCCGTTGAAAAAAAAAGTATAAAGTTTAAATAATATGATATATAAATAAAATAAAATAAAAAATAAGAGGAGGTTAGTTCTCAATCAAAAAAAAAAAATCAATCTCTTCAGACAGAACTGACGACTTCAGACAGAAGCATAATTCCCCCGAAGTTAATCATAGAATAATGTAGGAGTAATTATCTCTTAATCCACACACTAATTCCGTCCCGGGCTTTTGTTCCACCGCATTCAGTAATTACAGACCCGAGAAAAAAAATAATAATATAAAAAATAAAGTAAATACACATCATTTCTTTGTGTTTCCTCCCCATTCCTCTCCTTTGGTTCTGGAAGCAAGAAGGTGGGAAATTTTTTGTCCAGAAGAAGCCAGGCAAGTTTTGATTGCGGCAGTCGATCCATTAACCTATTCATCGATCCGTTTGAGGGACAAAAGGGGAAGTCTTTGGAGCAAGCGAAAAGAGGAGGATATGGTGTGATGAGGGTGGGGAAGAAGGAGAAGGACGAGGGAGGAGAAGATGGCGAGAGAAGGGAGAGGAAAGTGGGGTTTGGGTTTGAGTTCAGGTCTATGCTCCTACAAGAGAACCACTCTCATTGTTTGCCTTCTCAACATTGTTATTGCTCTCTATGTTCTTCGCTCTCTCTATGCTTCTCTCTATGTTTATTCCAATAACGGTAACGGTATGTTTTCTTTTCTTACGTTTTTTTCAGCTGATTTTTCTATATTATGTTCTTTGTTTGATCATGGGGTTTGTTGATTTCTTTCTGGGTTTTGTTTATTTTCAGTTGTAGAGTACTCTCCAGATCAGATTAGGAAAATGGAAGAATCAATCCGGATTCGAAGAGCAAGTGAACCTATACAACTTCTTAAATTGGTATGATTATGGAACTCTTGAGATTTAACATTGATGGTTTTAGTTGTTTTTTTGCTCTGTTATATGCTTCTAATGCTGATGTTGTTGTCACGTTAAAAAGGTGAAGCAACTAAAGCATGAGTTTTCCAAAGAAAACTCAGTGGTTGAATTGCCACGGGCAGTTAAGCAGAGGATAACTGATGAGGTTCTGCAGAGGTTGAGAGGCTTGAAAGCAAATGCTAATATGAGTGAACAGCGGGGTAGGTGCACTTTTTATAGATTTATTTATCCTTTCTGCATCATTTAGCTTAAAGTTCAGTATGTATGTTTTGCATTCTAATTTGATATATTCTGCTATTCTCCACTTTTAGTAAGTACTGTTATAGATTTCGCTTCCATTTCTCATCTTCCTTTTTGTTAAGGACCATATTAGATTATACAATTTGTCTCAGATTGTGATTGATAATCTGAAGGCTGGATCTGTTTTCTGCAATATGTTTTAATTGATGAACTAGATTCACTCATTTAGCGCTTGAAAGCAACTTTATGTTAAAGTAAGTGTTGAATGTGTAATTGGAACCGTTTTTTCCTGAAAGAGGAAAACATATAGGTTCTTTGGCTGAAGATTGTGATTAACTTGTTGATGTATTTCATTTTGGATTGAATATGGTGTTTGGATTGTTGAAATTTCTTTTGCTTGGTTCTTCTTTATTGGGATTCTTTGACTGAAGAAATTTATTTATCCATTTGTGGATCTGTGCAGCTGTGCTAGAAACAGAAGGTCAGGGTAGATATTGGTGTTAGTTCATCGATTTAAATGCTTAATTGTCCTTTGGAAAAAGCTGAAAATTAATGTTTTTAGGGTATATCCTCATTTCACCATATTTAATCTTTACATCTACATTGTTTTTACTATTTCTTTTCCTCAAAGATGGTTTCGGAGTAATAAGAATTTAGACATGTGAGAGGGCATATACTGTGTTCCACACGTCTAATATCAAAGAAGACAAAATATTCTTTTCCCTTGGTGCCTTTTCTTTTCCATCTTTTGTTACAGTGATTAGTTCCAAATTGTCTTTCCGTCCCCATTTGTTTATTTACTACTTGGACTACATTTTTACCTGAGGTTTTATATTTTTGAACTGAAAAGAAGAAGCTTCTGGTTTTTTAAAGAGCTGCTTGTTTGGTCTTTTGTTTCCTTTTTCATTTCTTTATTGAAAAAAAAGGGTCCAGTGTTTTCTACTTACTTTCCATTCAGGTATGACTTAAAACTAGTTCCCTGTAGGCTGTCAGTGATTATTAAGAAAAGGATAAGAACCAGATCCTGGTTTTGCTAGGCTGTTTGTGCATATGTTATACAAACTATTTTATTTCTCCTTCTAGGACATTATTAGCTACATGTAATCAGAAGGAGAGTCTTGCTAGAGAATGTCAGTTCTTCTGCTTCACTATGTGATAGAATCCTTCCCAAACTCTCCCTCCCTCCAAATTCTGTCCATCACCCCTCCCCAAACATCCACACACCCACATTTTTCTATGTATGTTGGGGTGATTAACATTATTTTTGGATCAATCAAATAAATTTTAGTTGCTTTGGAGTAAAAGGGATGATTAACAATATTAGTTTTTACTTGATTGCTTCTTTTGTCACTTTAATTCTCAATATTGTAATGTTTAAGTAGGTGTTTTACCATGTCTTAAGAAGTATCATGGTTGAATTGTAGGGGATATTTCCCTTTCTTTTTTGGGAATACCTATTAACTCCAAGACAATGCCAATATCAGTTTTGAGGCCAATTAATCAGCTCTATCTCACAATGGCACCACTTATGAGTTTATTCTGTATGGTCTTGTTTTGCTGGTTATTTACTGGGATTCTTTTTTTGATAAACAGAAGCAGTTGAACGCTGGCGCACAGAGAGATTAGAAGATGCCAAAAAGTTGGCTATTGTAAGAGAGGGACTGAATTCAACTCTTTCACAAGAAGAAGCTGGTAGCCTTCTATCTGAAAACCTTAACAATCCTTCTATGAAAATAACCTTGGCGTTTACCACTCAGGTGACTATTTTGTAGGGATTCTAGTAAGAGCCTTGGAGTCTGATTGGGCTGTTCTGTCAGAAGATGTAGGGCTTTGGATACCTGATGAAATTATTCATCAGGAACACGATGATAAACCTGAGGGTGTGGAAGATATTGGTACTTATACACTTCTCCTGTTTCCCTCACCCCCAACCAAAATAGCAGATCAAAGTTGAATGAATTCTTTATATTGCAGCATAAAACTAAGATACCTGTTTATTTTGTTTACCTGCCCTCAGTTTCTCACTTACTTACAAGGTGAAAAATTGTTAAGAGATGTGTCTGCCAGTAACTGAGGTATACTTCTTTACAGACATGGAACAAATTTTAGCTGGAAGGTCACTTCCACCAGAATGCCATGCTGAACTTCATACAGATTATGATGGAGGCGCTGTTAGGTGGGGCCTTACACACCATAAAGAAAGTGCAGCTGACTGCTGCCAGGCTTGTTTAGATCAGGCAAAAAATGCAAAACCACATGAAAAGAAATGCAATATATGGGTTTACTGTCCATCAGAAACTGGTTGCTATTCCCCCGATATATACGAACACAAGCACATGGAGTGCTGGCTGAAATCTGTAAGTATCCATCTGTATACGTTAAATTAGCACTTGATCACTGATCATATTTCTGCAGTATTGTTCAAACTAATCTAGTTTTTTATTTGGATCTTAATCCTGATATGATCCCGTTGTTAAATGCAGTCTGAAAAGCCCAGACTGAACTTCAGAGACCGGTATTCTGAATCATATAGAAGCTCCCATCCAACTGCTCCGGTGAGGGTTCCTTGGGTCTCTGGTGTTGTTAGCTTATGAACAGATTGATGCGACAAACAAACAGTGAGTCTGAAGAGGAGTGTATACTTTGGGCTGCAGATGTCTTCCACGCTGTAGAACTTCTTAAGAAATACAAAGCTGGTTCTACTGAAATCCTTATCAGGCTCCAGTGGACGTCCAGTGAAACTTTTGATGTTTGCTTGTTTTACATTTTGACAATTGATTGCGGGGGAACGGGGAAAGGGGTTTTGTTCCACATTCTCACTTAGTTGATAGTCACACAGGTCTTATTTTTTGGACTGTCCAACATCAATGGCGGTTCTGGCATTGATGATTTCAAACAATGAAATTCAGTGTCTGTCCCTGGTAGAGGTTATAGCAAGACATGAGAAGCTTTCTTTATGTATTATTAATGACAATGAGAAAAGAAAAATGTTGTAACAGAGAGGGTATTCTTAATTTCTTATGAGCAACTAGCAAACTGGAATGTTATATTATTTTATACTGTTTTTCAAGGATTTTTTAATCAATAAATTTGTATAAAAAAATATAAAATAAATATTAATTTTAAAGTTAGTATTATGTAGATAAATTTAATTAAATAATTGATAAATAAATATTATTTAAAAAAAAAAACTCTTAATCTGTGTTCTCATAACATAAATTAGAAAAATTCTTATAATAATATAAAAAAATTAATTTACAATCGAATTATAATAAATTAACCATTGATTTTGGAGAAGGATCCTCCTTTCAAAAGTTCTCTTATCAATTGTTGTAGTTGTGTAGTTTATCTTTACAAAATATCTTTTTATAAAATAATGGTGCTTTTATCAGTTTTTTTAATAATAAATTTGGAATTTAATCGCTTGGTATTAGAAATTATTTCTTTGATTACCCCCCAAAAAATAAAATAAAATAAAATAAAAAGGAAAGGCCCAAAAAATGAAGCCCAATTCAACAGGACACTCGGCGATTATCTTCTTCCATTTCTAGGGTTTGCTGTGATGAATTGAGGAGGACGATTCATCGTCGCTGCTTCTCGCGAATAGGTATGTTCTTCTTCAGCTCCCTTTATGTTTCCCTTCACCTTTCTCTGCGAATTAGAATGAAGTTTCATGATGAGTTAGCGTCCTTTTTTTTTTTTTTTAATTTTTTTATGCCTTCTGCTCCTCAAATAATAATTGGTTTTGTCTAAACCTGCTTGTATGGCTGAAGATATGTATGAATTCCCAACTTTATAATCAGCAAATCTTTGTTTAAAATTTCTGTCTTCTGAGCTTTGATTGTTGGTGTTCTTCAAGCATGAATTCAATATCTGAGTATGAAATTTTGAAACATGAATTAGTTTCAATTACTAATGTGAACACTGCTTTTCCTTCTGCTGCATCAAATTTGGGTATTTGCAGTGAATTTGGTCTTTTAAGAAGTGATCCCTAATGATACTTGGTAGTAACTCCATCCAAGAAACCCACTATGACATTCTATCAGTGAAGGAAGATGCAAGCTATGAAGAAATCCGTACGAGTTATAGGTCTGCCATCCTTAATTCTCATCCTGATAAGCTACATTCCAACAATGAATCAGGAGATACGTTTCTGAAAGTGCAGAAGGCCTGGGAAGTCCTCAATGATCCAAGATTGCGTGCAATCTATGATACTGAACTGCAAGCTTCAAGACAGGATGCAACAGCCTCTGAAGATGTTGGACTAGAGGAAATGATGGCAGAAAATGCTGGAGAAGTCTTGGAACTCTTCTACCCATGTCGATGCGGTGATTACTTCTCTGTTGATTCCTCAGAGTTGGATAAAATGGGGTATAAGTTGTTGAGGGATGATAATAAGATTTCTTTACAAACTCCTGATGCTTTACCAGCATCTGTTATTCTTCCCTGTGGTTCTTGTTCTCTAAAAGTTCGTCTTTTGATAAATCCAGATGTTAAGTTTCCAATTGATGATCATATTTGATTAGTCTTTCATTTTTCATTTTTCTGCTTGATTTTCTTCTTGGAAAAGTCTTTTTTCTTTATGCTTTTGTAACTCAGCAACTCAATGAATGGAGATTGTATTCTCGCTGAAATTTCCCTTGTGATTAGCAACAAGTGATGAAGTGTTTGATTAGTATTTTATAAAACTACTTTATAGGTGAATTGTATGTGATTTGTTTTGTAAAATTATTTAAATATTTTTAATTTTAATTTTATATTATTTTAAAAAAAAATTCAAAACAACGCTTAAAACAATTTTTTTGTTATTATTTAGCCTGGATGGTGTGTGGAACTATTTTTATGATACCACTGTATTTTAAAATTCAGAAAAAAGTGAACCGCAATCTGTCATTTCGCCATTGATTGAGGGAGCGAATTTCTTATTAGGGTTTATTCTTTTATTAATGATTAATTATTATGTAGTATGTCTAAAATTTTAAGTGAAAATTTTAGAAATAATTTTTAAAAATAAAAAATAAGATATTTAATAAAACCAAATAAAACTCCGGTGATTTATTTTTTTTAAATATTATAAAATGGGGTCAGCTTCAATTATTGCCCTTGACGAGAAAATATCAACTTTACAAAAATGAGCAAGGTGACTTGCCCCACGGGCCAGGTTCAACTCCGGTGATTTATTTAATGGTAACTTCCTTTAAAGTGTTAATAATTTAAAAAAAAAAAAAAAAACCAAGGGGAGTGGAAGGAAGAAAGGTAGTTAAAACATTGTTCCTATCAACAAGTACTGCTGGCTGAAGACGATTTTCTCAATACGGGTATTCAACGCGTCGATGCTGCTGGAGCACGTTTCTCCTATCATCTCCACCCTCGGAAAATAGAAACTTTCTTCATCCAGATTCACGCCAAACGAACGGCTTCGTTCCAGAGGTATGTGCTTCTGTCATTTTCGACTTTCGTTTAATATCATCAGGGTTGGCACACTTTTAACTGTTCTGTGCAATCGAATTGACCCTTTTGCTTCTGCTATTTTCTTTTTCATTGGGAAGCCAATTAATTTACATTCAAAGGTAAAGTTAACCTTGCTCCAGCAGAAAGATTGTTGCTTTTACTGCAAGAATTTTCTAAATATCATCTAATTGATGCTGCCATAGTTGTACACAGTAATTTATTTAAAGTTTGTTTTGCAATTTGCAGGACTGAATTCAGGTTTGGGTTACTAATTGATTCTGAGGCTGTGCTATAACTAAGACGAAATTGGAAGGTTCTAGAGTGAAAACTTAGTTTTATGAGTTGGGTCTAGGGGAAGATGGGTTCTGGTCAAGGAAGTCCTGATTGGAGTGTGTTTGATGGTGTGAAGGTTCCCCCGTCAACACCTGAGGCTCTTATGGCTGAGCTTAATACAGCTATTAGAAATATGGAGTATGCACGGGCTACTGCATTCCTAGACTCTTCTTCCTTACTGAAGAATGAGAGCTATGAATCTAGTTTGTCAACTAGGTATGATGCCCGAATGGCAGATGAGGCTTATATGGCAGCGTCTGCAGCTTTGGCTGCTGGCAAGCTTGATCAGGCTTTGCACTCTTTGAATGTTTCTCTCACCAATCGCCGTCCTGACAAGACCTCTGCTGTTGCCAAGCTTCGATCACTCATTTCTCTCACATCTCAGCAACTCCATAAATCTCCTGAACCGACCCTGGATGGTACATTTTCTACTGGGAAATCTTGGCAATTTATGTTTCCATTACCATAATTTAAATATAGTTAGGAGATTAATTGATTCTATTTTGACATTTTTATTAAAGTTCAAATCATCTATGATTTATGGCATACAATTAAATGGAATATGCTGTATCCCAATAGGAGCACTAAGCGCTTTCCTTTAATATTACAACCTCTCAAAGTTGGGCTAGTTTGTTTATTTCTCTTTCTAGTCTATGTTGGAGGTGATATCAACTTGTAACTTTTCCTCTGTTCATATATCTTTTAATTTCTTGTTTGCTTGCTTATTGGGCAGCAAGGGGAGTGAAAATTGGTTGATTTAGTCCCTCCCATGCTATCTTTGTCATCCATTAAATTTGTCTGAGGTCTGGTGGAGGAAATGTAACTACCATTTAACAATCCTTGAAGGCAATTATGGGTAAAGTTTTACAAGATCAGCTTCCTTAAAGATAATGTTTGCTCGCTTCCCTTGCATTCGACGTTGTCCTTTGGACATAGAATCACACGGCTTGTGTATGTTACCATTGAATAAGTCTTGGGAATGTTATCATGTGATGGAAGGGTTAGGTTTGGTAGCTATTGTACTTAACTTACGTGTAAAAGAATTTATTGCATTGTAATAAAGTTATCTTTGAATAAGAATTCTATGTGGTGTAGTTTTCCATGAAAATACTTGTTCTCAATTCTATAATCCCCTAGGAGGACTGAACAGAGTATGAAGGCAGAAAGGCAGGATCAACGCATGAACCAAGTGAAAGGAAACAGTTGACAGGAGACTCAGCTAACAGAGCTAATCAAGGAATAAAGAAAGCAGCTAATCAATCCCATGAGCACAGATTAAGGGAAGACCAGTATAACGGTTAAAAGGCAACGTCTTTGCAATATTAGGAAAATAATATTTGTATTCCTTATTTGTATACATAATTATAGGATCTAGTTTTGTTCTTATGATTGTATATAACGGCTACTCAATGTACAGAATAAAAACAACAGAAATACAATTCAGTATTGTATTCAGACATCCTTCCCTTGCACTGATTTTCTTTACAGAGTTCAATTATAAGGTGAAACCCTTGTGACATTGCCTCTTCCAATCCCAGAATTGAAATTGAGTGTATCAAACCCCTGTAATAAGTTCCGTCACGCTTTGTTAGGAAAGCTGCATATGATAAGGCAGAACAAGCTCTCCAACCAACAGGAAATTCGGTTTTGTCTCGTGATGCATTTTAATTTAAAGCTGTTTTAGATATTTGTACGTCAAGAGCTCATTATAATGGCAAGAAAATTATGCCAACAAATACAGGCAAGCACAATTAATGCTGCTTGACTATTTCCATGGATATCATTCATGTCCACTTCCACTAGATAAGATAGGATATCTGTGATCAGGGTAGGAAGGAAAACAAAATAAAGAGGTAGAAAAACAAGGAAAAAATTCATCACAGGGGAGGAAATATAAGGAAGAACTCACACCGCAATCAAGGCCCATGAAACCCTGGTAAGTTTGTTTCTTCTTTGGTGTTTGGCTCTCACAGAGGTTAGAACCTTATCGGAAATAGCATCAATGAAGACAAAACCACTCCTGCCGACTTTTTGTCCAACATCAGCCGTCATTGTTTGGTATTATGTCTCTGTATTTTCCATGACTTGAGGATGAAGTGGTACATGTGGATTATAATAAAAGGCAAAAGCTCCAGAAAATGTATTGATTATCTTATGGAAAAAGCAGTTCAACTGGAGTTTTAGGGTCATTTGTTAATCTGTCTACTGCTTTTTTTTTAACTTAGTCTTTACCCCAAAGGATAGAGTCCGAGTGTTTTTTTCATTACGCTGAAATGGCACTATCAACCCTAGGAGGTCAATTTGATCTTCAAAAACGGAGTACTAACTCCAACTATATATTTATGAATCTTGCATATTAATCTGGGTGTCTCTAGGCAGTTGCTTCTCTGACATGGGTGCCTTTTATCACGAAGAGCAACCGCGGAATCCCAAGAGATGCAAGTTCCTTGCTGCAGCTCTCAAGGATGTGTTTTCTAACTGTCATAGTTTCAACGGACGGCCACTTTCGTCTCCAGGGCCGGAGTCCTCAGATAGTGACATAGAAGATGAAGAGGAAGTACTCACCATTCACGAGTTTGGTTTCCTGGTCCACTTCCTTTTGGATTTTCTTATTGTTTGTTGATTTTCTCTGCAGGTCGTGGTATCAGAAATTCGGAGTAGAGCAATGGAGAAGAAGAAGCGCAGGCCTGGCATTAAAGCAGATAGTTTTTCCTGGGTGTTTTCTCCTTCCACTGGGGACATATATATAACCACGAAGCAAGGGAAAGGAAAAGAGAAGGACGGTGGGGATGAGGAACGAGAAGAGTTCTTATCTGTTAATAGCTGTTTCTCCCTCTGTTCAAGTGATGCAAGTGGGGAAGCTTTTCTCTCTGTGAAGACAAACTTTTCCAGGTCTTCCAGCTTGAACAGACCTGATTCTGTGGATTTCTTCAAGTTCAATTTTGAAGATTTTCGAAGGCGGTCCATAATTCAGGAGTTCTGCCACTGTGAAGGATGGCCGTTTGGTCTCTGCCGAAAGTTGGTGCTGCTCCCTCCCCTGCCTAAATCGCCAGCAGACTCTTGGTCATGGCGTAAAGGCAGTAGACTAGCCAAGACGCCTTATGTTTAGAAGCTATGCTACTCTTGATCTCGGCAGTGGAAGCAAACTATCCTGTTCTTTATTTACTTCATCACTGTTTTTCCAAAAAAGGGGAAAAAAACTATCAGATGCTTCGACAAAGAGGATAATTATGGATTTAAAATTGCTAAGTAATTATGAGATTAAAATTGCTAAGCTTTGCTAAATCTTCTTTGATCTAAAGTTCTGCTGAATCTAGAGTGGAAGAAAAACAATGTATGCCTTTTTTTTTTTTGCAAAGAAGAACAGTGTTTGTATTGATAAGGTCAGATTATATAGCAACATTGCCTAATAGAAGTACATTAGCTTTGATGAACCTTTTATTTTAGCTGAAACACAAACTGCAAACTTAAATGGTTTTCAAGGAGAACATTTACAAACCCTTTCGAAGGAAAGAAAGCTCAAATTAACAAGAAACTTTCACAAACCATGGCACCTATCAGGCTCTTTGGTCCACATATTACCCAGAAAGTCCAGAGGTTCCCAGAACAGTAGCCGCGATGAAGAAATATGTTAAAAGTTAACCCAATTAAATTGCATTTCATTATCATTGGCAAGTAGCAAGTAGCAAGTAGCGATGAGGTTTCTCAAAGAGCACTTAGGCAACAATCAAGGCCAATACTAGTTTCAAAAAAAGCAGCAATACGGAGAGCTTAAGGCTTAAGGCTTAAATATCCTTTCTGAAGGTTCCTTGCAAATTTTAGTTGTCACAGGGAATCTGGATTAGATAGAGATGGAGAAGAAGGCGTCGAGAACCCAGGTGGCTGTGATGGGTGGCGGTGACCAAACGAGAAGATCTGAGGAAAGCTGCTCTGTATAGAGATCTCAGAAGCACCATCTTCTCCATCTTTGCAAAGTGGGGAAGCACAGAAAAATGGAAAAAAGACACTGCTTTCCTCAGCAATGGAACTCTAAACGACAGGTTGATTTTTTGTTTTAAAAAATGGGTCCAGCACATGGACCACCTGGCTATAATTCTCGGGGTTTGAAGTTTGAATGGACAAAGAAAAGTCCAATTTTCTTTAACCGACTTTATCCGGATCTACAAAATCAAGGAGCTCCGTGTTTTTCTTCCTAAAATTATCTGCTTCTTTCAATTATCTACTGAAAAATCCAGGAGCTTTTCTTCCTTCATGAACTCAAGCGAAGAAGAAATCGCCACAGAGATCCCCGGCGTAATCCGGGTCTACAAAGACGGCAGCGTCCAAAGACTGATCGAAACAGATATCGTCCCGCCAACCACCGATCCCAAGACCGGTGTTTCCTCCAAGGACGTAACTGTAATACCCGAATTTAACGTCTCCGCTCGTCTGTTCCTCCCCAAACTCGCTAACCCCACACAGAAACTACCCCTCCTCGTCTACTTCTACGGTGGCGCCTTCTGTGTCTCGTCACCGTTCACGCGAAAGTACAACAGCTACCTCACCGCACTTGTCGCCGAAGCGAATGTCATCGCGGTTGCAGTTAACTACAGGAAGGCGCCGGAGCACCCAATCCCCACCGCCTATGAAGATTCCCGGGATGCGCTTCAGTGGGTCGTTTCGCACCGTAAAGGTGATGGACCGGAGCCTTGGTTAAACCACCACGCCAATTTTGAACGGGTGTTCATGGGCGGGGAGAGTGCCGGCGCTAACGTCGCTCATAATTTGGCTATTGTCGCCGGATCCCCGGATTTTGGTCTGAACTTGGAGCTCCTTGGAGTTGCTCTGGTGCATCCGTATTTCTGGGGGTCAAGTCCGATGGGGTCGGAGACTTCGAATCCAAGCAGGAAGGCGATTGTGGATCGTCTATGGCCGTTCCTGTGCCCGTCAAATCCGGACAACGATGACCCGCGGGTTAACCCGTTGGCAGAAGATGGGCCGGGCCTGGTGGGACTGGGGTGCCGGAGAGTGTTAGTTTGCGTAGCGCAGAAGGATATTCTTAAGGATAGAGGGTGGGCTTATTACGAGAGTTTGGGCCGGAGCGGGTGGATGGGTGTGGTAGAGATCATGGAAACGGAAGGAGAGGATCATGGGTTTCATTTGTATGATCTGGAAAGCGAGAAGGCCCAAGATTTGATCAGACGGCTCTCGGCCTTTTACAATAGAGACATGCCATTAATATTTTGATTTTATTATGTTAAGGATTAATTCTTCTTCCTTTGTTATTGTTGTTGTTATTATTATTTTTTAAAAATATTTTTCTGTAACAAAAATATCATGAATGTTAGCTTTTTTTTTTTCTTTTTTTTTTTTAATTTACAATTTGGGTGTCTTCCAAATCAACTTTTATATATCTTTAGGTTAATTTTTCTTTAAAAGATCTTAAGAATGTATTCCCACGTTAATCAAATGCATTTAAGAAAATTAGTTTCTT